TTTTTTATTAATCTAATTGAAATTCGCATTTTCTAACCTATGTATTAGAGCACAGGTTAATTAATATATTTTTTATATTTAATTTGCTTGAAAAGCTTAAATTTTGATTTTAATTTAATTAATTAACTAATTAAAATTATTTATGTATTAATGATATTAAAATAAATATCAATTAATATAATTCTTAATGTAAATTAATTGCAAATGATAAATTTATTGTTCCTTAAAGTTATAAGTTAGACAAACTTATTGAAATTTAATTAAAGATATTAATTATTTTTAATTAATATTGATTAATTACCATAATTGGGGATGGAGTACCTAACTGTCTCTTGGTTAATCATAATGAACGAATAAATAATTCATTTTAAATTGGTTAACCATCAAAATTTTCAAAAGAAAGTCAACCTGATCAAACAATTTCAATTTTATGCACTCGAGTCTATTGAGTTTTTAACTAAATCAAAAGTCGGTCCTCAAGGTCTCAGTTTGTTAAAATCTGGTCCATGAATTTTCAATTCTTTCGATTTGGTTCTTTAACTGATGATTCATTTTAAATTGATCCTCATCTTTTAAATTACTTACTTCAATATTTCATAGGCCCGAAGATGGAGATGGTTGCTGCACATGCAACTGTGATTGTACCTGAAGTTCTTAAAAGCAATAACTACAAAAGGTGGAGCATTTTCATGCGGCACTATTTAGTGGGCCAAGATCTTTGGGACGTTGTTCAATTAAGCCAGTTGCCTGCTGGAGGAAATATGGGGGAGTGGATTAAAAAAAGTGCGATAGCTCTGCATGCCATTAAGATTTCATGTGGAGAAGAAATTTTCGATAAAATAAAGGACATGGATTCTGCTAAAGAAGTTTGGGATGCATTGGCTAATATGCACAAACCCCCAGTTGTTCCTCAGGAAATTACTGAGCACCCCCTACAAAAGCGAACAGGTTTTATTCTATTCCATTCTATCTGTTTTAGTTTCTTTTATTCTCTTTCCTTTTTCCGCATCCGTTATCAGAGACACTGCTGTACGGTTTGTGTTTTTTAAGGTATTGGTTCAGATTTGATGTTCAACAAATTTCACTATATATTAATCTTTATACAGAGAAGAACTGCTGAGAGTCTTGTTTTTATTGAACATACAGACACTTTTACGGCACAAACATCTGGAAACATTAGAGGGTCTGAATATGAGGCATTAATTAATGCCATTTCCAATGGGAACAGTTGGCGAGTAAAGCACTTCCTTACAGAAAATCCGAATGCAAGATCTGCAAGAATATTTGAAAAGGGGTACACAGCTCTTCATTTTTCAGTTTATAATAGGAAGGAAATAATTGTTAATTACTTGATCGATTCCGCATTGTCAAAAGAAGAGTTGGAAATAAAAGATGATTCTGGGAGCACGGCTCTTTCCATTGCTGCTCGTTTCGGAGCTGGGAAATCGATTGCACAAAAATTAGTTGGAAAGAACCCTAATTTGCTCACCATTCCAGACGACAATGGAAAGATCCCAGTTCAATTGGCCTGCAGCACAACTCATGAGGACATGGCACGCTACCTGTACGTTGCGACTCCACTAGAGTCTCTAAATGGAGACCGTGGCTTCTACATCCTGCAAGAGTGTATAAGTAGGAAAATGTTTGGTAAGAACTCTAACATTAATTAATTCTTCTTTTCCTTACTAGCTAGTATATTATATATACATATATATGGATATAATTTTTGTTATTTTACTTTTTCTAACAAACTTTAATATTAGATATTGCATTTGATCTACTTCAACGGATTCCAGAATTGGTATCTCACAGTTGTTCTTCGAGTTCCATTTCACTCATTTTAACACTGGCTCAAACACCACCCCCATTCTTCAAAAGAAGTAATCTTTCATTTTGGGAACGGTGGATATATGATTGTCAGTATTGCTTCTCTTTTCTCCTTAACTTTTAAAATTATAATTTTGTTATAATATATTTAATAATTATTTGGCTAAAAATAAATTTAATCTTAGATTCCTCACAGCTCTCATTACCCTATTTGGGTTTTTTCTTTTCTTTGTTTGCTTTTTCAGTTTGTTCTTCTTGATTGATATAGTCTAATAAATGCTCCTTTTATCGATTGAAATTAAAATTCAAGGCATAAGAGTGAAGGCATACTCCATCAAACAAGATGAGCATGGATCACGCGTACAGAAGATCCGAGACTTTTATCAGTCTTGTAAAAAGAAAATCAGAGTCTTATTTCAGTCATGTGAAAAGCGGAGTAGGCAGATAGCGGCCGTCTGCGGGAGACAGCGCAATGCCGCTGCTGCCCCCGTCCCCGGGGCCCCGCTCCCGCCGGTCTCCGAACCCGAGCCCTT